GGGGGGACGACGGCAGGAGAGAAACGCCGTCCGTCGTGGGCCGTGGCTTCGGCTCTCCCCGCAGCGACCAGGGCGGGCGGTGTTAGGAAGGCACGGGAAGAAGAGACTACTTCCTCATTTCTGAGGAAGTTAGGATTCAGGTGTATGTTAACTTTTGCAATGCAGGTCACCTGTTCGTATATGTAACGTCACATAAAAATAACGCATCTACTCCGCCTGGCCTAGCTCCAACTGCACTGTTGTTTAAAGTCGTGTTTCCATGTCCGCCCGTCTTGCTAGAGGGTGAAACACTTGACACGTGGAAAAACAGAAGCAGACATGATCAGTATGACAGGGTTTATTTTCTGTTTATCATTTTGAAATAGGTGTGCATCTTTAGGGAACTGAAAGCTTTCTGTGCAGTCCCAGAGAGTCTCTTTTTGCCAACTCGAGAGTTGGTTTCTTTGTTCTCTCTTTGAAAACACCACAGAGAAAACAGTGGCCATATTACAAAATCTCAGTATCAGTGACTGCTATACCCAAGAGTAATAAACTACCAGACAAAAGATTTTAGGCTGAATTAAATTCTAAGTTTCCAAAGAAAATGTTTCCTGTATGATTTTTTTCTTCACTGCAGGTGCAACAACTAGCTTGGCGAGCGAGATAGTTTCTTGGTTTTATGAGGAAGTGTGAGAACACTTAATATGGGACAGTTTACCAGCTTAGCTGAAGTCTGCGTCCACATGATAGCCCAGCAGAGAATAATGGTCATGTAACGGAACTAAAAAGGTGAATACTACCTCGGGGTATTTTTAGAAGGTTGCATTCAAGCCTTGCTAAGTACAAAATATTTGCTAATGCATTTTTTGCCCACAGCATTTCTCAGCTGAAGACCCCTTTGCTGAGAATAAAAGGTAAGGGAGCTCACTGATACTTACTGCAGGCAATCCTTGATGAAAATCTTTGAAACCAATGCAAGCTTTTTTGTTGAACTGAACAAACTCAAAATCAGGTTCTCGAATGAGCATTAGCTTTCAGTCTTTGCGCTTTCTTCACCTTCACGCCGTGCTATTTTTCCCTCCCCCCCCCACCTTGAATGCTGATCTTGTATAGACTTGTGTAGGAAAAAAAATTTAGCTTTACATCATCACTGCAAAACTGTGACTGTATGGACAGTCACAGACTTTTATTTCATCTTCTGTTTTTTCTGTCTCTGCATACCTTGGTGTTTCCTTCACACAGAAAAAAAAAACCCTTTTCCTGCAAAACAGCCTCCTACTCAGCATATTCTCTTCAGTATCTATATTAATTACCATGTTTTCAGTAAATATCCACATTGATCTTTGAGCTCTCATTTTATGTAGTGTATACTACATACAGTTTGGGCGTGCCCTAGAAAGAGGTTTAAACGGGAAAATCCTTTTTAGCCAGCCAGACTGTAATGCTAGTAATGAGACAGCTATATTTCAGGATACCTGTGTACTTTTGCACACCGCTGACAAACTGAAGACAGCAAAATTGCCCTCCTCCTCCTTTCCTTTATCACTGATCTTTACGTAACTCCTGAAAGGCATGTAGTCTTTCTCTGAGTACTGAGATTCTTGTTCCCGTTCTTAGAAGGAATATGCAGTTCCCCTAGTGATATTATAGATTCGCTACCATGTCCTCGTGAATTCTTATACACAGATGATAAGACAGATATCGTTGAAATGCAAGCCTTGATAAGGGTGCTAAAGAGAGAAAGAGAGGGAGTATTAATACTTGAGATACTTGTCTGAAGAAACTGGAAGAACTGAGCAATCCAGTCTCACTGAAGAGGAACTACAAGGTGTGCAGGAGTAATCTGGAAGTATTTTCAGTCCATTAGGAATATTTTAAGTAGTGTTGCATCTTGTTCAAACTGGCAGGTTTAACCAAGGTCCTTCAATTGCAATAGCTATAGGAGAGATTTAAGCAGATTCTTCATGCAAAACTACAGCTACTCAGGAATTTGAATTACTGAGGCAGAGGTTTGGAAAAGCATGCGCTCATGTTTGAATATGAGCAGAGAGGAGACTGATATGAAGAAACATCAACCCAAACTGGAGGTAAAATGAATAAGTAAAGTTGTGTTAGCATAAGAAACAGCCTACAGAGGATACTTCTGAGCTCCTAGTAGTAGTACGCTAGGGCAGTGATTA